TTTGGTGCACCCATCACCCAAGCAGTATACATTGAACCCAAGTTGTAGTCTTTTATCCCTCACCCCCTTCCCATCCTTTCCCCCAGTCCCCAAAGTCCATTGTATCATTCTTACGCCTTTGCATCATCATACCTTAGCTCCCACTTATGGGTGAGAACATACGATGTTCGGTTTTACATTCCTGAGTTACTTCACCTAGAATAATAGTCTCCAATTCCCTCCAGGTTGCTGCGAATGCCATTAATTCATTCTTTTTTATGGCTGAGTAGTATTCCATCATATACATATATTACAGTGCCTTTATCCACTAGTTGATGGATGGGCATTTGGGTTGGTTCCATATTTTTTTCAGTTGCAAATTGACATGCTATAAACACACATGAGCAAGTATATTTTTCGTATAATGACTTCTTTTTCTCTGAGTAGATACCCAATAATGAGACTGCTGGATCAAATGGTAGTTCTACTTTTAATTCTTTAAGGAATCTCCACACTGTTTCCCATAGTGGCCGTACTAGTTTACATTCCCACCAGGAGTGTAGAAGTGTTCCCTTTTAACTGCATCCATGCCAACATCTATTATTTTTTGATTTTTTGATTATGGTCATTCTTGGAGGAGTAAGGTGGTATCACCTTGTGGTTTTGATTTGCATTTCTCTGGTCATTAGTGATGTTGAGCATTTTTTCATGTTTGCCGGCCATTTGTATATCTTCTTTTGAGAATTTTCTATTCATGTCCTCAGCCAAGTTTTTGATGGGATTGTTTATTTTTTTCTTGCTAATTTGTTTGAGTTCCTTGTGGATTCTGGATATTAGTCCTTTGTTGGATATATAAATTGTGAAGATTTTCTCCCACTCTGTGGGTTGTCTGTTTACTCTGTTGAAGTGGCTAATTAAGTTTTAAGTACTTTAGATTAGTTTTCTCATTTAATTAACATAATAACCCTACGGCCATAAGCCACATGTACAGCTGGGTCGTGGGTGCCTGCTCCCTCCCCATCCTGAGCTGAGCAAGTGGATGGCTGCACAGCAGGTGCTCAGCCAGTGCTGCAGAGCAGGGTTTGAAGGCAGCACCAGGCAGGTAGTGCTGTGGAGTAGCCCTTGAAGGCAGCACAGTGCAGGGCAGAAGTAACAAATGAGCATTCTGTGAGCCACATAGAGTCAAGATGGATAGCTTTTTATGTTTTGTCTTCAAAATATTGTCATTAATCATTAGCATTTAAAATAGGGAGATTTTATTTAAGATTCCAGAAATTCAGCTTTCCTTCTAAAATCGAAAAATCTAGCATAATTGAACCTACCTTCTATCATCCTGACTAGCAACTGCCCACCTTTAATAGGGCATTGTGAAAGTTTGGGTGTTTATCCCTTCCAAACCTCATGTTGATATTTGATCCTCAGTGTGAAGATTTTGTCCCACTCTGTAGGATAAAATATTTTCTAATTCCTTCTCTTCTCTCCCCTCTTCTTCCTCTTTCTCCTCCTTTCCGTTTTAGAATTAGATAATCAATCTGAGGCTGATGGAGACTAAGTAGCTTTCATGCCATTAGTAAGTTACTAGAGCTCAGATTCAACCCAAAACATGTCTAAATCTAAAGTCTATGCTCACAAGCTTGGTCAGAATCTTTTAAGATTCTGTTGAAAGGGGTTGAAGGGTGATATAAACAAGTGAAATAATCCAGGTAGAAGGATTATTTCACTTTTAATTTTAGCAAAGGAAAATAAAAGCACAAGTGAAATAACATAAGGAAATGTACACTTTGAATTACATTGTAGACATAGAAAAGAATAATGGAGAATTATAGAATGGCAAAATATTTACCTGTCTTAGTCCAAATGTGTCACTATAAAGGAGTATGTGAGGTCGGATAATTTAGAAAAAAAAAATAAGGCTTATTGGGCTCACATTTCTGTAGGCTGAACAAGAAGCATGGCATCAGTATCTGCTTCTGGTGAGGGACTCAGGCTACCTCCACTCATGGTAGAAAGTGAAGGGGAGCAGGCTGTGCGGACATCACATGAAGAGAGAGGAAGCAGGAGAGGGGCGAGAGAAGTGCCAGGCTCTTTTTTTTTTTTTAATTTATTTACTATTATTATACTTTAAGTTGTAGGGTACATGTGCATAACGTGCAGGTTTGTTACATATGTATACTTGTGCCATGTTGCTGTGCTGCACCCATCAACTCGTCATTTACATCAGGTATAACTCCAACCAGCTCTTACAGGAACAAATAGAGCAAGACCTTAACCCCCACCCCTACCAGAGAGGGCATTAATCTAGTCATGAGGGATCCTCCCCCATAACCCAAACATCTCCTGTTAGGCTCCACCTCCAACACTAGGGGTCAAATTTCAGCATAAGGTTTGGAAGGGATAAACACCCAAACTATAGCAATGCCCTATCTAAGGTGGGCAGCTGCTAATCAGGATGATGGAAGGTAGGTTCAACTGTGCTAGATCTCTTCATTTTAGAAGAAAATCTGAATTTCTGGAATCTTAAATCTCCCTATTTTTAAATACTAATGATTAATGACAGTATTATGAGGGAAAACATAAAGAGCTGTCCATTTTGACTCTATGTGAGTCACAGAGTGCCAGATTATTATTTCTGCCCTGCACTGTACTGCCTTTAAGGGTTACTCCACAGTATACTACCTGCCTGGTGCTGCCTTCAAATACTGCTCTGCAGCATGGCTGAGCACCTGCTGTGCAGCCATCCACTTGCTCAGCTCAGGATGGGGAGGGAGCAGACACCCAAGACTCAGCAGTGCCTGTAGCTTATGGCCAGCATTTACCCTGAGTGTATTTGGGATATTTTAAACATCATTCTTGGATAGGTTTTTAAAAATATAATAATTGCCTTAATCCTCACAACATTCAGAAACAAGATTTAATTATCTCTGTTTTGCAGAAGAGTAATTTGATACTCAGGTTGGTTATAAAGGTTGCATAGCTATAACTACATGGCCTGGGATGTTAGACTCACCTCTGACCCCATGGGCTCATCCTTCTATAGAGTTGCCTCTATCTTTGAAGTAACTTAAATTACTTCAAGTTAGAAAACATTTCCTCTTTTTTATCACTCTGGTAAGAATCTGAAGCAAAGTGGAAGTTGGCAGATACAATCATCTTTTAGGAGAGAAGATACCTTTGCCACTCCTCATCTCCTGACCATCAGGTCTTCTAGGGATGGAGAAGAAACTGTTAGGGTAATGAAGGAGGAAGAAAACAAGAATCTGCTCTTCATAGTCCTGAGACTTCAACACTAAGACAAGACACTCCCATACTCTGTAGGTGACGGCAAGGGCAGGTACACAGGGAGGGAACCGGCTGCTGGAATGCCAGCCTGGGTGATGCGCCAGGCAGATGCCAACCAGCTGTCTCATGGCCCAAGCCAGACCCAGAACCCTTTATATAAAGACAGCCCTCTTCCCAGATGCCTCAGCCTGAGCGACTGCTTGCCTGTGAGGAGGGTGAGTCCAGGAACTGGATCCTGGGATTGGGGTGGGTGTGATGTTCGAGGGAGCCCAGGTTCACAGTAGTGAGGCACAAAGAAGGGAGAAGCTAGGAGCCGGGGAGGGCAAGGAGTGCATCAACCTGAGGAGAAAAGTCTGGTGAGCTTTTAGGAGACAGAAGCATAGCTATGGAGTTTATGAGATGAGCTAGGGCTGTGACTTCAGTGTATTTGCCTTTGATAACCCTGACCTTATCCTCAGGTACCATTTCCCCTCATAATCTTTCTGGAAAAGCCACATTAGCAATTTACACCTTATGAGCAAAGTTGTGTGTGGAAGGGTTACCTTCCCCAGGGAAATAGATATGTAGGTATTCTCTATAAATTGAAAATGGAAGGTTTGAACCCTCATCAGGAGCATTTGAGGAGCTTATTGAAAGGCGTTTTGTTGGATGAGCCTGCTGTCAAATGATCTTGTTTTGCTGGTCAGTGGGCTGCCTGCAAATCCACATAAACACGTGGATCTGGGACAAGCAGTGGAGTGAGGCTGCCCTGTGCTCTCCCCGGCTAAGCGTGGTGTCAGGGTATATGCCTGCAGCCCTCAAGTCAGGTCTGCAATGCCCCAGTTGCATAGATGATGAAGTATGGCAGAATGTCCGTCTTCTGATTAAGAACCTTGGACTTTCTGGCTTACTCCATCTTGGGTAACTCCACCTTGCCTCTAAGAGGAGCTGGGGAAAAACATTTCTGAGGCCTGCAGGCTGTCACACTTCAGGTGATTAACAACAGCAACCTGATTGGGCGAGTTGCCATGGTGGCCAGAGTCTTTCCAAGGCTGGTGTGTTTTGCATGGGAAAGCTTTGCACGTGTCATGTTTAAATGAATTTATTACAAAACATTGTGTCATGTTTAAATGACTTTATTTCAGAACATTGTGTCATGTTTAAATGAATTTATCTAAAAACATTGAATATAAAGAAACAAACATTTAATGTTGGGCTTGAGCTGCCCACTTTCCAGTGAATGCTTTGACATTATGTGAATGCAGATGGTGTCGAGTGCTTATTCTCATATGTACATTTTTACATATTTGCACATGTATGTATACTGCCAGTGCACATGTATGAGTAAATCCTAGCTCCTGTGGGAGTGGAGTTTCCACTTTGGGCTACAGCCTTAGGAGCATGTTTTATCTCTACTTCCTGTAGGGCTGCTCAGACCACATTGGATGTGAGAAAGTGTGGAGACAAAAAGAGAATCCTTTTGTCATCAGTGCCCTCTTGTTCTGGGCATTGGTAGATCCTGGACACCTGCAACCCTGGATGTGCACAATCAAGCCCTTTGACAGACTCAGGGCAGGTTTAACAGATTAATCCTGGGTCCGACTAAGTCAGGACACTTCGGTGAAGGTTGAGGGTGGAGGAGGAAAAGCTAGGGAAAATGAAGGGTGTCTTCCTCTAGGTCCCAGCCCTCCCTCTCCAACTCTCATCTTCTTGACCCTGGTCTCTCTGCCCTCAGGTCACGCTCGACTGGCTGCATCAGAACCATGTGTGACCAGCAGCAGATCCAGTGCTGCCTGCCGCTCCAACAGTGCTGCGTCAAGGGTCCCTCCTTCTACTCTTCTCACTCCCCCTTTGCCCAGAGCCAAGTGGTGGTTCAAGCCCCTTGTGAGATGCAAATTGTGGAGTGCCCTGCACCATGCCCAGTTCAAGTTTGCCAGGTGACAGACCAGACTCCATGCCAGTCTCAGACCACACAGGTGAAGTGCCAGTCTAAGACCAACCAGGTGAAAGGCCAGGCTCCATGTCAGTCTAAGACCACCCAGGTGAAGGGCCAGGCTGCATCCCAATCTCAAACTTCCTCTGTTCAAAGCCAGGCTCCATGCCAATCTGAGGTGTCCTACGTGCAGTGCGAAGCCTCACAGCCTGTTCAGACTTGCTTCGTAGAATGTGCTCCAGTTTGTTATACAGAAACTTGTTATGTAGAATGCCCAGTCCAGAACTATGTACCCTGTCCAGCTCCTCAGCCTGTCCAGATGTATAGAGGGCATCCTGCAGTGTGCCAGACTCAGGGAAGGTTCTCCACCCAGTGCCAGTATCAAGGCTCCTACAGCAGTTGTGGCCCCCAGTTTCAGTCAAGGGCTGCGTACAACAGCTACACCCCCCAGTTCCAATCGAGGCCTTCCTACAGCAGCTGTGTCCCTCAGTATCGGTCCCGGGCTTCTTTTAGCCCCTGTGTGCCCCAATGCCAGACCCAGGGCTCCTATGGGAGCTTCACTGAACAGCACCGCTCTCGGAGCACCAGCCGATGCCTTCCTCCTCCTCGGCGGCTGCAGCTTTTTCCCCGCAGCTGTTCCCCACCAAGACGTTTTGAGCCCTGCTCCAGCAGCTACCTGCCATTAAGACCCTCTGAAGGTTTTCCTAACTACTGCACCCCACCCCGCCGTTCTGAACCCATCTATAACAGTCGCTGTCCTCGACAACCCATTTCAAGTTGCTCTCAGAGACGTGGCCCCAAGTGCCGAATCGAGATTTCCTCCCCGTGCTGCCCCAGGCAGGTTCCCCCACAGAGGTGTCCTGTTGAGATTCCTCCCATCAGACGCCGCTCCCGGAGCTGTGGCCCGCAGCCCTCCTGGGGCACCTCCTGCCCCGAGCTGAGGCCACACGTAGAGCCACGTCCGCTCCCAAGCTTCTGTCCACCACGGCGTCTTGACCAGCGTCCAGAGTCACCACTGCAGCGATGTCCACCTCCTGCTCCACTTCCACGTCTGCTCCCAGAACCATGCATAAGTCCAGAACCACGCCCGCGTCTTCTACCACGACAACGTTCAGAACCTTGTTTGTATCCGGAACCACTTCCAGCACCACGTCCAACACCGCGGCCAGTTCCCCGTCCTCGCCCAGCGCAGTGTGAGATTCCAGAGCCACGTCCACACCTGCAGCCCTGTGAGCACCCAGAGCCTCGTCCACGGCCAGAGCCAATTCCCCTGCCAGCCCCCTGCCCAAGCCCAGAGCCCTGCAGGCAGCCTTGGCGCAGCCCCAGTCCGTGCTGGGGCCTAAATCCAGTTCCATACTCAGGAGACGTAGGCTGTCATGAGTCTAGTCCACACCGCCTAGACACCGAAGCTCCCTACTGTGGCCCATCCAGTTATAACCAGGGGCAAAAGAGTGGTGCTGGCTGTGGGCCTGGTGATGTGTTTCCAGAGAGGAAGGGTCAGGATGGCCATGGAGACCAAGGCAATGCCTATGCTGGAGTGAAAGGGGAAGCAAAGAGTGCTTATTTTTAAAGGAAAGGTGACTGACACAACCCTGTCTCCTGCCTCTGAAAATGTTGTTCCTCCTGTTCCACAATTTCCAGTGCACTCTTGTTTGAATCTCTCCAGAGATATTCAGAGACTCCCTATTACAAAGGTGATGTCCAGACTCCTTTGTCTATCATCCAAAGATTCACACCTGGGTTTCAGATGCCTCTCCAGCCTCACGTGTCACTCCTCGCCTGTACACATCCTCAGCTCTAGCCAGACCAGTCTGGCCATCGGGCACAGCTTGGGTGTTTCCTGGGCCATACCTTAGATGACCCTGCCTCCAAGCCTCTGCTCACTCTTCCCCCCTCTTCCTAGACCACTTCTCTTCTCCTCCCCAGCTTCTGAAATCCAACCCATCTTTCACTGCATCCTCCGCACTACTTGGTAACTGCCTGGTGATATCTCTTGAATTGTTATTTCACTTTGCAGGCATATCTTTCTTATGTGCCCAACTAGTTTCTAAACTCCCAACTGAGTGGAGTCAGAGAATCTCTAAATCTCAGTGTCTATCCTGGGGCTGGCTGCTGCTTAGCAAGGCTTGTGGGTTGGTAACTTGAACCATGTTCTGTCCTGATGCTCAACTGTAGGAACTGAGGTGAGAGGAGGCCACGTGACAATAAAGATCATCATGTACTCACTGCCTGAGTCCTGAGTCATTCCTGCTTTTATTTCTTGACTTGCTGAGATGAGGTTTTTATTGTTGCTATTTTAAATTGTGATAATAAAACACATGTAACATAAAATTTACCATCTTCACCATATTTAAGCATTCAGTTCAATGGCATTAAGTACATTCACATTGTTTTGCTACCAGCACCACCATCTGTCCACAGAACTCATCTTGCTGAATTAAATCTTCATCCATTAAATAATAACTCCTCATTCCTTGCTCCTTCTAGCCCCTAGCAACCACCATTTCTGTCTCTATCAATTTGATGATTCTAGGTAGCTCATATAAGTAGAAAAACAGTATTTGTCCTTTTTGACTGGCTTACTCCACTTAGCATAATGTTCTCAAGGTTTATCCAAGTTGTAGCATGTGCCATAATCTCCTTCCTCTTCAAGGCTGACTAATATTCCATTGCAGGTACATACTATATTTTGTTTATTTGTTCATCAGTGGATGGATGGGCACTTAGGTTGCTTTCACCATTTTTCTTGTAGTAAATAGTATTGCAATGAACATGGGTATACAAATACTTCTGTGAATCCCAGATTTCAATTATTATGGATAGATATCTGGAAGTGGGATCACTGGATCGTAAGGCAATTTTATTTTTAATTTTCTGAGGAACTGCTATACTATCTTTCATAGTGACTACATTATTTTACATTCCCACCAACAGGGTACAAGTCCTAATTTCTCCACATCCTTGTCAACATTTGCTATTTTCTGTTTGTTCTCTTGTTTTGGTAATAGCCATCTTGATGGATATGACATAGTATGAATTTTCATTTTAATTTATTACCTTTCTTGTTTAGTTTATTGTGCCCACGGTGTGAGCTTTTTAAGCCTACACCAAGTGGGTTGTCTTGTGGGTTTTCAATCTTCCCTCAGTTTCCTTGGCCCCAGATGGAAAGGACGAAGAAAAAGGCAAGGGGATGAGGAAACAGGGAGAATGACTCTGCCCCCTGGTCTGGGAGTGAGAGACTTCAGGCCTGGATTTGGTGAACTGGGTTTTGCCTAGCTCTAGGGCCATAGTCACAGCCTTGTTGCCTCTGGAAAAGAGGAAGGGAAGAATGAAGTACCTGGAGGCTCTCTGGGGACACTCCTTTTCTTTCAGAACTAGGCCGGGCATGGTGGCTCACGTCTGTAATACCAGCTCTTTGGGTGGCCGAGGAGGGCTGATCACCTGAGGTCAAGAGTTTGAGACCAGCCTGACCAAAGTGGCGAAATCCTGTCTCTCTACTAAAAATACAAAAATTATCCAGGTGTGGTGACCTGTGCCTGTAATCCCAGCTACTCGGGAGGTTGAGGCAAGAGAAGTGCTTGAACCCAGGAAGCGGAGGTTGCAGTGAGCCAAGATCGTGCCACTGCTCTCCAGCTTGGGCAACAGAGCAAGACTCCATCTCACAGAAAAAAAAAAAAAAAAAAAAAAAAGAACCAAATTGTTTACTTTTCTTTCTGTTTTCTTTTATGGAAGCATTTGAGCCTAACTCTGCATTCCTCAATTGCTCCCAGATTCCATTAGGCATGGGCGGTCTTGGCAGCATGAAGGTAAGGGCTGGATGGGAGGAAGAGACAGCAGTGACTCTCCTCTTAGTCCTTGCAGGTGAGATGAATGCTGGGTGGGGATGTGGCTCTGGAGGATGAGGGTGCTGGAGGACAGGTCCTCAGGGAGAGAGAATGTAAAAGCTCCACTTAGGAGGATGACAGCAGAGGGCATCTCTGGCCTGGGCCTCTGAAGGTCTGATCCGTAGCCCTGCTCCTCATAGTCCACTCCCCAGAGGACCTCACAGCTACAGAGCCATAGTTGGGAAACAGATCCAGGACGTGGCTCTGAGTATGCATCTCCCTTGCCCAAGGAATCTAGTTCTGCCAGGCTGATGGTGGAGACCTCAGAAACCAACTAGTAGAACCCTGTGTCATATAAAGGAAAACTGAGGCCCTTCATGTGAAATCCATTCATTCATGTATTTATTGGGCAATATTTATTGCTCATCTGCTAGGATGGCCCTGGTTAGAGAGATAGACATAACCTTGTTTACTGTCAGTGCACAACCTAGTATACTGGTCTTCAAAATATGGTACCTGAACCAGCAGCATTGGCAACACCTAGGACCTTGTTTGCAATGCAAATGAAATGCATCACCCCAGACCTAATGAAGTAAAGATTCTGAGAGCAAGGCCCAGCAAGCGGTGTTTCAACAAGCTCTCCTGGTGTTGCTGATGCCCAGGAACATTTGGTCATCACTGGTTTGGTGAAATGCCATATGCAGATAGAATATTAATATACATATATAGTATGTGTATATCTGTGTGTGTGTATACAGACACGTATCTACATATCTATCCATCCTCTAATTCCCATAATATTCAGTCAGGCAGGCATTATTATTTTGCTCTTTTGCAGAATTAAAAACCTAAGCACTCAGGGTTTAAGCGCTTGCCCAAGCCATACGGCCACTCGTGACTCCCAGTCTGCACTCTTTAATACCACACATGGCACCTTGGATCTTAGTCATAGTCCCTGCCTCTTCCAAAGATCTTTCCAGTTTTAACCCAATTATTTTCCCAACACAATCTTGGAGTTCTCTCAGTCACCGAATAGGTTATTTAGTTCCACATCCACCTCCTCCCTTAAAATCCAGGCTGCTCTAGAATTGAATTTGCTGTGTGGCACGTCCCCCAGGGGCTTGGCAGGGCCTGAATTTGGCCCCACAGAGCATCTCCAGGTTTCCATCACCCAGGCCTCTGGGTGGGAGTGAGGAGGGCAGGGTAGGGAGAGGCTTGGAAGCTCCAGTTTGGGAAGGGATTCTTGTTAGATCTCTCCCATGTCCTCGAAAACAAACTGCTAGACAAGGAACCCCTTGCCTGGGGATGCTTGGGGGCCGACCACTCACCCCTGCAAAATATTGAAGAAACACATAACTGGCTGTGCCAAGGTGGTGGTCACTTCTAAGAAGTCCTGACCTCCCCTAGGTCTGGGCGACAGGTCCCCATCCAGGATCTTTATTGAATGAGCAATGCTCTGTGGTCTGCACCATCCTCTGGGGATAGATTCTGGTTCCCAGAATGATAGTAGAATAGAGGGGTCTTTGGTTGGGCCAGCCTGGAGCAGAGCCAAGAAACCCCCAATGGCTTGGTGTTCTCCACTGCCCAGGGCTATGTAGGAGCCAGCTCCCAGAACATTTCTACAGCCAGAGACAAACACCTCAGAGGAAAAAGGCACACAGGGATGTGTGTCTGTTTTTCATGTTTCTTTTTGTGTGTCTATGTGTCTGTGTGTCTAACTGTCTGCTTTAAAAGCTTGGAGCTTTTAAAATGCATTTGGCAACAGGAGCTGTGGCCTCAGAATATGCTTTAGGATATCCTAAGTCCTTCAGCAACAGCTTTGATGATCCCTGTCATCTCTTCTACTCTCCACCATCCATCATTTCACTGATGACAGGCATCTTGGCTTTCTGACCTTTCCTTTTGTGTCAACCACTTGAACAAAACTTAAAGTGACTCCAGAACCAAAGCTGAAGACCCAAGAGAGCAAAAGAGACCATTTATAAGACCTTTCAATGTACTCGAAAACCAACCAGAGAGGCTCCTCTTCAAATCCTACACGGATATTAGGCAGCACACAGGTTGTGTAGCTTCTGTACCAGAGTCTGGTGAACTGTGTTGCTCAGAACTGCCCATGAATTGGCCAAGTCACAAAGTGTGAGGCAGTGATCTGTCCAGACGTCCATGCCTGACATCCAGCCATGCTGCCTCAGAACCGGGGCTCGGCTCCCAGAGAGGGGGAGAACATGAGAGAGACTGGGCCTGAATATCATGCTTCTCACTTTGGAATCCTGTTTACATTCTTCTGCAATTCTGTATCTTTTTCCTCTTTCTAAGCTTTCCACTGTGGAATCTTCACTATAGAATGAAAGATGTTCTCAGAAGTTCCTTCCAGACCAGGTGGGTTATCTAAAATTCCTTTTTGTGGAAGGCAGTATGCTAGAGGGAAATTACCTGGGATACTCACTTAACGACACAGAATCCCAGGATACATCCTAGAACTACTTAGCTTGAACTTTCAGAATGAAAATCGGGGACCTGCATTTGAGAATTATTCTGATCAATCAGAAGTGAAAACCATTTCTATAATGAATACCCAGGTGTGTGAGCTTACTCAATACCTAGGAGGAGGGTTGAAATTTGTACACATCTGGCCCAGCATGAGTAGGATGTGGCAGTGGTGGTGAAGACAGAGCTGACTGTTAACTGGTTTCTTGTAGGAGGTTTTATGTAATTGTCCATGTGGGGACACAAATTATCCACCCCT